GCCCACATGACAATATTTCCATGTTCCCTCAGGGGAAAAATTGAACTGATGACATCGGGAGGTTTGGGGTAGCATGTAGTGACCCATGGTGCTTGTTTGCTTGTGGTGCTTATCTGCTTGTGGGCGGGGCCTTTGGGGACATTTGGGGTGCCGGTGACCATGGTTCCTGCCACTGAGTGCATTATACACATTGACGTTTTGGCTGCTTGTGACACAGAACAAACATCACCACCACCTGAGGGGCTGTGCCCCCCTCACAGCTAAGAATTCAAGCCCCAACACTGGGGCAAACCCGCTCCTACCTGCCACCTAAGCTACCCAAGCCCCACTGGATTAGTCAACAAAAGCAGTGCCACATACTAAGTGGGGAACAGGACATTATTGTGTTAATTCAGAACTTGCCGCAGATGAAAATGTTCCAAACCACCCTGTCACAATTTAACAGCCCAGTCTGGCTGGTAGAAAAGGCCTCTGGGGCATGGAAACTAACAATGGATTGTCACAGGCTGAATGCCATGGCCACTTGGGCAGGAAGCCAAAGAAATATCCCAGATATAGTCAAGCAAAAAATTGTAACCCTGGATATAACCACTAATGAAAAGGAGGCCCAACAGCTGATAGGCCTCTTTGGGTACTGGAGAAAACACGTGCCCTACCTGGGTGTACTTTTGTCCCCCTTACTGAAGGCGATCATCAAGGCCAACTTTGAACAGAGCCCTTCGACCAGCAGGCCTTGGAGGCCATTCAACAAGCCATGATCTTGGCACTGCCTTTAAAGCCTTTAGAGCTACTAGACTGATAGAATTACAGGCGTTGCAACCTCCATGCATGCTGATTGCAGCCTGTGGCAACAGAAAACTGCCACTGGGGTGCACCAGCTTCTCAGACTTTGGACACGTAAGTTGCCTGAGGCATCCCCCAGATGTGCCCCCTTTTTTCTTTGTATTTCAGGGACTGCAAATTAGTGCAACCTCTGTGGAAAAGAATTTGGAGATACCTCAAAGAGCTAAAAATAGAACTATCATTTGATCCAGCAATAGGACTATTAGGCATCTACCCAAAGGAACAAAAGACATTCTATAATAAAGACATCTGCCCTCAAATGTTTACGGCAGCACAATTCACTATTGCAAGGATGTGGAAACCACCCAAGATACGCCCCTTTTGAATGGCAACTCCTCACTTGCTGTGGGGCACTGGTGGAGACTGAGCCTCTTATATCCAGAGCACCACATGTGATGCCATGACATGAACCGCCCATTTCCACTGGGTGTTTAGAAACCCCATCAATAAAATAGGACAGGATCAATAGAGCTCAATTATCAAATGGAAATGGCGTTCAAGATTGGGCCCAGCTGGGATCCCAAGGGATCAGTAGGAACCATGAACAAATGTCTAGCTCACCAGAAGGGATCAAGCAACCCCTGGAGGATGCTTTAGCTCCTCTGTGGCTACCTGGAGCCCAAGATTCAGAGACATGCCTACCGCCAGTATGGCATGACTTACTGATGCTCTGGGAAACTCAAAGCAGACAGGGTCCATTGGGCTGTGTCTGCCATCAGGCCATCCTTTGTCTGAGACTGGACACGCATTTTCCCCTCAACAGGCCAAACTCCATGTAGTGATGATGATGGCTGTGCAGGCCACCCCTACCACCACATCTTGCTACATTTTCACCACTCATGGGATGTTGCCAACAGCCTTGCCATCTGGTCAGGAGGATGGCAGCTGAGTGAATGAACTATTAAAGGAGCCCCTGTGTAGGGCCAAGGATTATGACAACAGCTTGCTACCTGGAAGGGCCGAATATATGTCACTCATGTGGACACTAGGAATACCATAGCTGCCATTGAGAAGAACCTATGTCATATTTTTGGATATCCCATGAGACTTCACTCTAAGCAAGGGTTCCCAACCATCCTTCTTCCTTTATCCCTTTAGAGTGCATATCCTAGGGGTGGTTTACAGTTGAGGCTGCCACACTACCCTACAAAGGGCCCTCTGACTCTAATCAGGGGGCGCTGCTTCCCCTGGGTGTCTCCCCTCTATGGGATCCCACAAGGGTAGGGACAGAACCAAGGAATACCAGGGTTCTAGGGTTCTTCTAGTGGCACTGGGGACATCTGAGCCTTCCAGTCAGGTGGGTGCTATTACCAGACTTACCAAGTTTGTACAGGACATGACCCCACTTCCTAGACTGGACGACTGAGGCCAAAAGGTCTGGGTAAAGGAGCCAGGGCAACAGAAACCCACAAAAGTAGTAGCCTCAGGACAGAAACAGATAGACTGGGTCACTATGCCCAACTCAGCCCAATCCTACCTGATAGGTAAGGAACACCCGGGCCCCCTGGGAAGGGCTGGGGTGGGGCATTAACCCATCGATCTGCTTTTTCCACAGGGATGTGGCAGCAGAAGCCTGGAAGTGTAATGTCTTTGTTAGGCTCTCCCAAACTGTAGCCACCACACAACCTGATAACGTGCTAGATCTGCTACCCTGGACCTCCTTGTGTCACAGACCACAGCGACCCTCTCCTCCCGCCAGAGGTAAACTACACCAGCACTCCTAAGGCCACAGTGTATGCCAACAAAACCTGAGCCCCAGCCCACTGAGTGAGGATCTGGCATTGCCGCATGGGAGGGAGCTGGAGGTGCCCTGCTTTGACTGACTCGGTAGCAAAATGTCACGACCGCAACTAATGAAACCTTGGTGGGCTGGTACTTCCAAGGACCATGGTCCTTTGAGTACATGGATTAGAAATGTCCTAGCAGTAAGGACAAAAACAAGGACTGGACTAGTGTTAGCCCTTTTTGCAGGGGGAAACGGAGCTCGTGCAATTATGCCATCAGTCAGACTTGGCTGGCAATCCCAATGCCTCCATTCCCACTGAACAATAAAATGAGAAAAAGGGCTCTATGCATATCCAAGGGCTACATCTTTCTCTGCAGGTGGTCTGGGGGTGACCCAAATATGGGACGGGCAATGTCATGCCTGAAAAGCTGTTGGATGGGAGGACCCTGCATGTTGGATGTGCCCGCCCATGACTGTGACTTAGTGACATTCAAAAGCACCAATGAAATGCCCTCAAGCCGTTTGTTTGTGTTCTCCACCCTGTCCCCCAATAAGGGGACTTGGCCCTGGATCCTTGTGTTTTCTCTCTCCTGGCTTCCCGCCTGTTTGATTGAGCTTTTGGCTCTCCCCTCATTTTTCCACACCTCTCCTATGTCCCATCTGTGGATGCCCTTGACTAATCATCTAATGAAAGAATGCTAAACCTATGATAATGACTTTTTAGATACATCAAAGGCACCATTCATGAAAGAGATCATCGTTAAGTTGGATTTCATTAAACTTAGAAACTTCTGCTCTGTGAAAGACACTACCAAGAGAATGACAACACAAGATACAGACTGGGAGAAAATATTTGCAAAAGACTTATGTGATAAAGGACTGTCATCCAAAATATACAAAGAACTATTAAAACTCAATGGTAAGAAAATGAACAACCCAATTGAATAATGGGCAAAAGATCTGAACAGACACCTCACCAAAGAAAATATACAGATGGCAAATAATCATATGAAAAGATACTCATCATATGTCATAAAGGAGTTGTAAACTAAAACAATGAAATACCTCTACATAACCATTAGAATGACAAAAATCCAAAGAGGATATGTAGCAATAGGAACTCTCATTCATTGCTGGTGGAAATACATAAGGGTACAGCCACTTTTGGAGACAGTTTAACAGTTTCTTAAAAACTGAATATTGTCTTACCATATGATCCCTGTGCAGTTGCATTTCTTGGTATTTACCCAGATGAGTTGAAAATTTATGTCCACACAAAAACCTGCACACAGATGTTTACAGCAGCTTCATTCATAATTTCTAAAACTTGGAAGCCACCAAGGCGTCCTTCAACAGGTGAATGGATAAATAAACTGGTACATTATTGGAATATTACTCAGTGCAAAAAGAGACAAATGCTCAAGCCATGAAAAGATAGGAAGAAAACTTAAATGCATATACTAACTGAAAGAAGCCAATTAGAAAAGGCCACATACTTTATTATAATATTAAAATATATGATATTATACCTCTAAAACTTTCAAGACAATAAGAAGATCAGTTGTTGCTGGGGGCTGGAGACGTGGAAGCGATGAATAGGCAGAGCACAGAGGATTTTTAGGGCAGTGAAAGTATTCTGTATGATGCTGTATGGTAGATACATGTCATTTTACATATGTCAAAACCCACAGAATGTACAACACGAGGAGCGAACCCTAATGTAAACTATGGAATTTGGATGATAATGATGTGTTACTGTAAATTCATCAATTGTACCAAATGTACCACTCTAGCGTGGGATGTTAATAATGAGAGAGATCATGAGTGTGTGGGGGCAGGGACTATACAACTATTCTCTGTGCTTTCTGCCCAATTTTTCTGTGAATGTAAAATTTCTCTCAACAAAATATAAAGTCTATTTTAAAAATTTCTCAACTCATAATTTTTAAAAATACCTTTGTTCAAATCAGAATCCAAACAAGATATATGGTTATATGTCTTAAGACTCTTAATCTACACATTCTCCCTCTCCTTTGGGGAGGGTTTCCAGTAATAGTGTTTTCCCCAAAAAAATCATTTCATCAGTTCCCCAGTGGGATAAATATAATCTAAAATTTGATTTTGGAGGCCATCTAGCAAAACTGGTCTCTTATTGGTCCCATGCCATGGGTTGGTTTTAGGGTCATGAAAACATCCTTGAGTTTTCCATTTGCTTTTTTCAATTTGGGGGGCTACCTGGTGTGCATCAAGGATGCAGTTTTCGATTGTATCAAATTGGCCATCAGAGGGCTTAAGAGGGTATTGAGTTTGTTGGAGGTTCGTTTGTAGAAGCTGCAGCTTTTGTGGCTGTGTCAGCCAAGTAATCTCCTTTACCCTCTTGAGTATCAGTTTTTAAGTGTCCTTCAATTTTATTTTATTTTTTTTTCTGGCTCAAATTTATAACTTTATAAGTAAAAACGATAACAATAACCCACTCTATAATTCACTCCTCCACAGTGAACTATCTACTACACATTCTGTGATGACCTTACCACAGTGGAAACCTGCCGCAACTCCACGGCCGGGGTTCTGCCCCCTTTTAGTTCTCTGTGCACAAAGTGATGCCACTGACTACAAGGCAGTCATAGAGATAGGTGAGCTCAGGGGAGCTTCTCTCCCCCACCTGCTAACTCAGCAGGCGTTCAGTTCACCCACCTGAGCCATGGCCTCCCATGTGTATCTGTTCATAATTTTATGAAGTATCTAAACGCTATTCATCAGTTAAAAAAAAAAAAAAGAATAGAAAACTCTAGACCAAGTAAATTGTGAACTCAAAAAGTTAAGAGAGATACCGATTTCATTAATAACACTTTCTTTAAAAAAAAACACAATCACTTTCTTTGAAATCAACCACAGTGGTGAGACGTGTTTTTCTTTTCAGCTGCCCCACGATGGCACACAGTTTTAGCCGGCAAATTCTACCAGTTTCCAAGTCCGGGGATCCCGACCTGCGCCTGCGCACGGGGCAGCGTTACCTCCCAACAGTGTGGAGAAGAGCACATGTCACCACTGGGCGATGGGAGAGCTGACTAAGGCTCTTGGCTTCTCTACGCCAGACTTGGTTGGAGAGCTTTCCTTGTTCTATTAGAAAAGTTCACTCGAAAGCTGTGAATAGGATCAGACCAGAGAAGTAAAGCTCTTTTATTTTCACGGTGCAAACATCAGTCAATATACTGGGAGAGCCAGCGGAAACCCTCGCCATAGCCTTGCCTCTTGAGCACACTGCACATGAACACTTCCGTGGGGCGGGCATTCAGCTCCTTCAGGGTCACGCTCCCCTTTCCTGTGGTCTGTCCATAAAGCCCAAATACCTCACGGAGTTTTTCTTCACTGACTGCACCTGTTCTGTCAATTTTGTTACCCAAGATAAGGATCGGCACGTCGGATATCGTTTCATCAGTCATTAACGCATCCAGCTCAACTTTGGATTCCATGAGGCGCGAACGATCTGCACAGTCCACCAGAAAGACAATCCCATTAATTGCTGGGAGATAATTTTTCCAAACCCGACGTGCTTGCTCATGTCCACCGAGATCGAAAGTTGTAAAAGTCATCCCGGCAACTGTCAGCTCTTCCGACGTCGGACGCAGCGTTGGAACGTGCTGGCCCAGTCGGCCATCTTTGAGCATGTGAAGAAGAGTGGTTTTGCCCGCGTTGTCCAAACCCAAGAATACAAGTTTTCCAGATTTCCTGTAGAGTCCTAGGAACTGGAGCACACTGCTGAAGCCATTGTAGAGCCACTCAAAGATGAAAGACATTATTAATGCTTACTACGGCCCGAGGGGCTCCCCCGGCTGACGCTGGCGGTTAACACCCTCCCTACCCGCACACAGACCGGCCGCACCCGGGACCGCCAGCTACTGACCGGATGTACGTCACGGCTCCACCCCTGAGACTTCCGGGCGCGCGCTTCCCACTTCCGCCCTTCGTTAACCTCTTGAATTTGAAATATTGCTAAAGACTTAGGTTTTTTGATAGCTTCAAGTAATTCCAGGACATCGTTTGTTGCTGTTTTTTTATCTTTGGACAGTAGAGGTCAGAAAACCTCTCTGTTTCCAGAGTGTAACAAAATCACGTGCCACCCCAAAGGCATAGTGGCTGTCAGTACAGAGAGTTGCAGTCTTGTTTATTGCCCACACGCATGCTCAGGAAAGCAAAAAGTTCTGCCTGTTGGGCAGAAGTGGCCGTGGGTAGGGGACCACTTTTAATGGTTTCAGACAGTTAGATCTAGTTTGGCTAGTCTTGCTCGTTCTTTTTCTTTCCATACCTATTTTACATCCAGCTTGTCAATTTCGACAACAATCCTGCTGGGCTTTTTACTAGAATTAAACTGCATTTATAAAATAGATTGGGAAGAATTGACATCTTAACATCATTGAGTCTTCCAGTCCACAGATACAGCATCTCTCTCCAGTCGTTTGGTTTTCTTTCATTCCTTTCACTCATACCTTGTGGTTTAAATCACACAGATCTTGCACATCTTTTCTTTACAGTTATTCTTCAGTATTTCATGTTTTTGTGGTGCTGTTGTAAATGACTCTTTTTTATTTCTATGTCCAATTTTCACTTGCTAGTATATAGAAATATATAATTGATTTTTGTATATTAACTGTATCCTGTAATGTGGCTAAATTCATCTATTAATTCTATTACCTTTTTTGTAGATTCTTCTAGATTTTCTATATAAACAACCTTCTTTATTTCTTCTTTTCCAATGTGTATGCTGCTTTTTTTTTCTTTTTATTGCACTGGCTAGGACTTCTAATACAATGTTGAATAGAAGAACATTTTGTTCCCAGTCTTAAGGAGAAAGCATTCAGTCATTCACCATTAAGTAAAATATTCACAGTAGGTTTTGTGTAGATGCTATTTATTAATTGTAGAAGTTCCCTCCAACTCTTAATTACTGAGAATTTTTATCTTAAGTGAATGTTGAATGAATTTGGTCAAAGTTTTTTTTTGCATCTATTGAGATGATCATAGATTTATCTTCTTTAGTCTGCTGATATGGCCAATTACATTGATTGATGTTTGAGCATTGAACCAGCATTCCCAGGGGAAAGAACCCAGGTGGTTATGATGTATTGTCAGTTTTGTGTTTTGCTGGATTCAATCTACTATTATTTTGTTAAAGATTCTTATGTCTGTGTTCTTGAGGGATATTGGTCTGTAGTTTTCTTGTAATGTATGGTTTTGCTATAAGGGTGATGCTGGCTTAGTACAATGAATGAGCTGGGAAGTGTTCTCCTCCTCTTGTATTATAAAAGAGACTGTGTAAAATTGCTATTATTTCTTAAATGTATGGTATAATTCACCATTTAAGCATCTCTGGGCATAGAGTGTTTTTTTGTGGTAATGTTTCCATTTCTTTCATAAATATAGGACTATTCTATTATCTACTATTATCTATTATCATTTAGTTACGTATTTCTTCTTGAGTGAACTTTGGCCATTTGTATCTCTTAAGAAATTTGTCCATTTCATCTAAATTGTTGATATTATGGGTATAGTATTCACTTATTATCATTTTAATAACTATAGAGTCTGTAGTGCTGTCCCCTTTTTCATTTCTCTTATTTATAATTTGTGTCTCCTATATTACTTTGTCACCCTTGCTATACATTTATCCATTTTATGTATCTTTTCAAATAATTAGTTTTTGGTCTTATTTATTTTCTGTATTTTTTGGTTCTTTATTTTATTGATTTCTGCTCTGATCTTTACTTTTCTTTCTTATATTTACTTTGGGTTTAATTTGTTCCTCTTTTTCTGTTTTCCTAATGTGGAAGCTTAAGTCATCACTTTGAGGCCTTTTATTTCTTTTCTGATAAAGCACTTAATGCTATAAATTTTGAAATACTGTGTTTTCATGTTCATTCACTTGGAAATACTTGCAAATTTCCTTTCTGACTTCCTTTATTTTTTATTTTTTTAAAGACAGGGTCCACTGTGTTACCCAGGCTTGTCTCAAACTCCTGGGCTCAAGCGATCCTCCCATCTCAGCATGCTGAGTAGCTGGAATTACAGGCTTGCACCACTGCACCTGGCTGGCTGATTTCTTTTTTGACTTGCATTTATTTAGAAGTGTGTTTTTGTTTTCCAAATATCTAGTGATTTTTCCAGATAGCTTTCTATTATTAATTAGTAGATTAATTCTATTATGATCTGAGAATACATTTTGTATGATTTTAATTATTTTAAATGTGTTAAGGTTTGTTTTATGACCCAGAATATGGATGGTCTGTCTTGGTGAATGTTTCATGTGCACTTGAAAAGAATATGTATTCTACTGTTAGGAGAAATATCCTATACATACCTATTAAGTCAATTTGGATAATAGTGTTCATGCCTTCCAGATCCTTACGGATTTTCTGTCTACTTTTCCTATCAGTTACTGATAAAGGCTCCAACTATAATTGTAGGTTGCTTATTTCTCTTTTCAGTTCTGTCAGTGTTTGCTTCATGAATTTTGCTGTTTCACATTTGTTTAATTTGCTTTTGGTTTCTTTTTCTCCCTTTACTTTTTTTAAAATTGGGTATTTTTATTCTAATTTATAATCCCCAGTTATTGTATAGGATAACAGAAAGACCTTTCTATTAAAAAAATCATACAGTTAAGTGCCCCCAGGAAATGCTGGTCCATAATAATTCCAAAACCTAAAAAAAAAAGAACTTTCCAGTTCCTTGGTTAGTGTTTGTTATGGGTTAAATTGTACCCCCCCAAAAATTCATATTTTGAATTCCTCATCCCCAGTATCTCATATATGACCTTATTTGGAAATAGGGTCATTGCAATTGTAATTACTTAGATTAAAATGAAGGCATTAGGAGAGACCTTAGCCAAATACAACTGTTATCTTTAGAATTTGCACAAAGAGACAGGCACACACACAAAGAAGTCAATGTGAAGAGACACAAAAAAGAGACAGACATCTATAAGCCCAGGATAGAAGCCTGGAGTAGATTCTTCCCTCACAGCCCTCAGAAGGGATCAGCCCTGCCAACACTTCTATTTTGAACATCTAAAGAAATGTAAGACAATAAATTTCCATTGTTTAAGGCCACTCAGTTTGTGGTGCTTTGTTACAGCAGCTCTGGCAAACCAATATAGGATTCAATACCTGGAAATGATTCTCTGGCTTTTGAATCCACCCTGTGGTTCTTGATTCTGCCCTCTAATTCATCCTTTCTTTTCCATGAATGGTAATCTGTATTTGCACTAGCTAGTGTTTCCAGACTATTGCATGACTATAGTTTGCAGGGCCTCTTCCTTTTAATACTGCCTCTGTACCTTTCAGTCCAAGATGGAGGTGTTTCTGCTACAGTAATTATCTTAAAAATTTTGTTGGTCTCCCATGAATCTTATTATGGTTTACTCCAATAGACAAAGGACACATTCACAAATATTTTTAAGATAATCCCTCTCTACCTTTGAATTCTACTCACGTTACTAATTGACAGTACCTGTCATGAATTGCATGTTTGTGTCCCCCCCAAAATTCATATGTTGAAACTCTAATCCCCATGTGATGGCATTTGGGGAAAGGGCTTTTGGAAGGTAATTAAGTCATGAGGGTGGAGCCCTCATGATGGGATTGGTGTCCTTATAAGTAGAACACCAGAGAGTCTACTTCTTCTCTGTCACCCATGTGAGGCTATAGCAAGAAGGTGGCTGTTTACAAGCCAGGAAGCAGACCCTCAACAGACACCAGCACTTTGGTCTTGGATTTCCAGCCTCCAGAACTGTGATAAATAAATGTATGCTGTTTAAGCCACTGGTCTATGGTGATCTGTTGTACTAGCCCAAACTGACTCAGACAACTCAATGGTCCTGTTTTTTTGACTGAATAGTTCTCTGAATGACTAATTTAGTTTTTTTCTGAGGTCTTAAAGGATTTTATAGTTGCATGCTTGATTTTGTTTTTAGACCATTTTTTCCTCACAGCTCCCCCCTGGGTTTGATCTTTTCCCAGAAGACATTATTTAATTTTGGCATTGTTTGTCATTTTAGAATGTTGGGAACTTTCAAATCTAGCAGTTCTTGGATCTGTATGTTTAACAACTTTTTCTTTAACCTCTCTCTCTCTCTCTCTCTCCCTCTCTTTCTCTCCTTTGATACTGTGCAATAACCTGCAAAAAGAAGCCAGACATCACCTTCAACAGTATCTGAAAAGTTCCTTAGTTTATCATTTGGCTGATAAAGTGCATTTTCTGCTTTCCAGGATACCACGTGCGACAGTGCCTCTCAACTTTTTGCCACCACGTAACAAGTATTCTCTCTCTTCTAGTTTCCAACAAATTTTTTTCTCACATGCTCTAATGCCTCACTGGTAGACTCCTGAAGGACCATCGGTCTCCAGGCCACTCCCAAATTTTTGAGGTTTTGTTATGGCAACAGTACCAATATTTACATTAGCTCTCTACTGCTTCTTAACAAATTACCCCAAAACTTAGTGGCATGAAAAAATAATCAAATTTATTGTCTTTCATGCTTTCTGTGGTTAAGGAATTGGGGAGTGGCTTTGGTGGGTTGTACTATCTCAAAATTCCTCATGAGATTTCATCAGATGTCAGCTGGAAAGGCATATATCTGCAGGCTTGACCGGGGCTGCAAAAAGATCTGCTTTCAGGATGTCTAACTCACGTGGCTGCCAAGTTGTGTTGTCTGTCTGTTGGAGGGCTCAGTTCCTCACCACATGTGCTCCATCACAGGGCTGCTCCTGACACAGCTGCTGGCTTCCCCCAGAGCATGTGATCTAAGAGAATGCAAAAGCCA